GTGGCGGCGGCAGTTTTAAGCGCGATTGTTTGATCTCGCAATTTCCCTTCGAATTCTCTTTTGCAATTCCGACCCTTCTTTTCCAATAGCCTGGCCGCCTGCGTGAGAATTCGGCTGCTCCACCGGTGCGTGCTGAATAATGCATACGAAATTCACTTGCAGCAGCGGCAGCCGCAGGAAAATAAGCAGAAATAAGCGTGCGCGCATATCCTCTTACGGCGCTGTAAAGGAATATTGGATACTTTCCTCCTTACCTGCTGCATAAGCTCATGAGATATTCAGCGAAGATTTCCCACCACCTTTTCCACCACACGCGAAAGGGCAGAAAAAATAAACTCGTTCTCGCTGAGAAAAAAAATGAAATTTCGCCATTGACAAGATATGTTTATCAAGAGGAATATCCCAATTCAAAAAAGCTGATTCGCAACTTTTAATAACCTGGGGTGTTCTGAAATGACATCTATCTTTTGCCTACGTACGAAAGGTTTTCTATATAAAAATTTCCATTAAAAATAAAAAAAAAATAAAAACGTCACCATGACGTTCTCAGAGCAGTTATTTAAATTACAAGTAGTTTATAATAATAGCTTTAAAAATTTGGCAAAATATTTTGCTCGTTCTGGATTAGGGAAGCCTCTCTTCAATAACATACAATGTTGAGGTGGAAAGGAAAAAGCGAAATAAAAAAAATTATAGAAATAAATCCTAGCAACAAAAGTTGGGCAAACCAGCTCATTATAACGCCGCAACACTAGCATTGTGCATGTTTTTGCCTCTTTTTCCGTGCCGCTGGATTAGAATTTTCTCCTGATGCCTGCTCGGCGGAATAATTGCCAATTAAACCAACTCTCGATAGAAATATGTGCACAATCCTGCTGAGCAAACTTTGCGTATATCGACGAGATAGGCAAATACTTATATAAATTGCAGGCGCGGCAATTATTTGCACACTTGGCATGTTGTGAACACAAAGAGTGGAGAAAAGTTGCTCGGCTGTGCATCTCATTTCAGCTGCACACATGGATGATCACGTTAATTTTTAATCAGGGGGAACGGGAGAAGAGTTTTACGAAGTTTAAGTTGACGGGCAAATATCTTGCAAGTTGAGCCGCTTTTGTTGGCAGCCCGCCGACAATGAGCTGCGCTTTCAAATAGAGAGCAATTCAAATTTATATAGAGTTGAGAAAGGATGAGTTTTGCCTTTTGCATAATTATTCACCCTCCATTGCATCTGAAGCACTGAATCTTTTGAAATCTATTGGTTCCGAGCAAAAAATTTACTTTGGTTGATTTTTGTCTGCTCAACCCTTTTTTCGGTAGAGTTCAAACACAAGCAATTATTCTATTAAGCTGTCGGCGGCAGGGCAGCAATGAAAACACAAAGCAAATTGATCCGCCTCTGTGCAACGAATATGAGTTAAGCCCCAAGCTGAACTCTTTTTTTTATATAATATACTCTTATAATCCGAGAGAGTTTTGAAAATTTACGAGCTGGGTGGGCGCGGATATTAGCCGGAAAAATGGCCCCCAACGAAAGATGAAAAAGCGCGATTGTTCTTTCTCTCTCTCTCTATGTGTGTATTTTTTCTGGCCAAAAGTTGATTGGTTCGTCTGGTATCAAAACAGAGCGCTGTTATTTGGCGCCGTTAACCTCGACGTGCTCTACTCTCTTCCTTGTTTTCCTCGCCGAGATAAGACCGAAAAAAGAACAGCTATATGACTGCTGCTTTATTTCTCGAGGCTTATCTCTCGCCGTAATATGCGCGCGCCAGTGCCTCTTCTTTTCCTACTTTTCCTCTTGGCTCAGTCAGGAATTTTATCCGCCGCGCTCTGACAAACAAACTACTTTTCGCCAAAGCCGCTCTGCTGCACTGGATCGAATAGAGCTCTCGATTTCTAAAGAGAAGGAAAAAGTCAAAAGCAATTTCAGTCACCGCATGGAGATATTTAAAAAATCTTACCATATGACATTATATGTATATATCTGAACCTATTTATAACTGAAATTTGTGATAAATTTTTCATTTGTTTTAAATTAATCTGTTAATCGCTTTCAGTGCATACTTTTCAATTTCATATTTACCCCAAAATCCTTTTTAAAATTCATATTTCTGATCATTGAAAAGAAAATATTTTTATAATTATTTTCAATTACAGTGAAAAAAGTTTTTAAAATGTATTAAATCAAATCAATTATGATTATATATCATGTTTTAACCTTTCATCAAAATTTATAAATAGAGATTCTTTTTTACGTATATTTTAAAACGTGAATATTTTTTTTTTTTTTTTTTTGTTCGATTGTAGTTCCTCAGGCTGCATATTAAGTTAAAAGAGCTCTGATAATGAAAAGCTAAAAATAAACAAGCCTTCTTAAATCCTTTTACTTCCTCTGAAAACAAGTAATTCTGCACATTTGATTGAATTTGGTGTCTGACAGTTTCCTTATTGGTTTCTCATTGAAATTGAAAATAGCTTGTGAATTTTTATCAGCGGGATATATATTGGCTGGGCGCCTTTTCTCGCTAGGGAGATGAGCCGCAGTGGAGTAAGGCGTCTCTCGAAAGTGCGCGCGAATAATTCGGGTTTTGGGGTGAAAAAGCAGGCGGTTGCTCTTTCAATCAGCCCGTCGCGATAAATCAGGCCGGCGCGGCATTACGTTCTTGGGGTGTTTCACCCTTTCTTGGCGCACAATGACCCTAATAGCAGCGGGGCCGGATTACAACAGGAGGCGGCTCTAAAATAGGACTCGCTCCTCGCGAGCAAGCACACAACCAAAGCAATTTCTGCCTCGCCAGGGACGCAGGCAGGCGGTCGCTCTCTCGTCTGAAACTGTAATGCAGAATTACGAGCGAGGGCAAATGGAGCCAAAATTCTCTCGTGCCAACTCTCGGCGCCGAGTCGCAAGCCAAAAGTTGCTGATTTTCTTTCACTCGCCCAAATTTATTATTTCCACACTCGGCATATTTAATTAATGTCTTCCTCGAACGAATCCGATCAGTTTGCTCTCCGTGTTGTATGCAAATTTGTGTCAAAACTCTGTTTGGAGTTTGCAGAGCCAGAGCTAAACCACCACCGGACCGGCAAATAATTTAATATTATCTCTGTCACGCCAAATGGTCACATACAAAATGGACAGAGAGGCCACCCCTTGCAAATAATACCGCCTGCCATGTGCACTGTTTAATGTTGTTTCGTCCGCACACACGGTATCGAATTTACGGCAGATATTCAGTGACTCTGTCCGACTGGAACAATGCTCAGCAAATTAAATTGCAAATAGGTTCAGCTTGGATCTACCGTATTGTAAAGTAAAGGTTTAATTTTCAAACAGCGTAAATGTCACCTCGCTACAACTTTGCTTGTTTATTTTGAGAGCGAGTTTCAACTCGTGAAAATGTTGATTTAATTTTTGTATATAAATTTATTGTTCTATTCAAACGTGAATAAGTATTTAAATCTTTTTGTTAGTTTCCATACTTATTAAATTAACAATTTTTCAAAACCAAAATGATAGAAGATAAATCATTTTTTGCAAGATATATCTGATTAAATTTAGAATGGGAGTTTCAATATAACTTTCACATAATGTTGGGCACAAATTGAGCAAATTTAACATTTCCACCAAGTCTTGCAAATGATTTGATTTACAAACCAGTCACTTGGCTCATTGCAATCATTTATTAAAACGCCCGGACAATGTATTTTTTTCCTCCCGGACAAAAGCAGTGGCGCAGAAAGGATTTATATAACGGCAGCCAATAACAAATGGAGCCGTGCTCTCTCGATTACTTTATTCATACGCGTGTATCCGACGGCGTTATTTCATCCCAGCAGAGAGAGAAATGTCCTTGCCGAAATGTATACAAAAATAAAAAGTGGAAAGCAGGACGGCGCCAATAAATGCGAGTGGGATTAGCATTGGCTTCTCTTGCCAGATCAAAAGCCAAATGCAAAAATCGGCGTTTGTTTTCATTGTATCAAAAGCAGCTGCTGGAGAGAAATAGAGGTAAATCGCTCGGCAAACTCTGCAATTTTGCGAGTCATCAAGCCCAAGTGCTCTTTTTTGCGGCCTCGAAAACGAAACTGCCGCTTTTTTACGTCCGGCCGGCCATTCCGTTTGGTGGCTAATCGATTGGTGGCCGGCCGGCTACTTGTTCTCGGTTTCGGGGAAAAATATAACAAAGGATCAATTGATTCAGAGCTTCACTTGCGTGAGCTGAATTTGGGAAAACGCTGGATTTAAAATTGAACAGTGCTTTTCCTCGCCGAATTTTTTGCCTCGGGGATTTGCTGCTATTTTTTATAATGTGTGTGCAAATTCAGCTACAAAGCACTACAAAGTTAAGTTCTGGGATTAAGGTTTTTGCCGATGTTGAAATAAACTATGGAATAAAAGCCGAATTATATAAAGAGTGTTAATGTGATAAACTTTTTAAATTAGTTATTATTTTGTTAAAATAGAAAAATTAGATTGCATAACTTTTAATAATAATAATAATTTAACATTTTAAAGTATATTTATTTTAAGTTTCTATATACGTTCTTGTAGTTGTTGTGGAACATTTTGGCACTCGAGAGGCTCATTTTTTGTTAAATAAAATCCGGTTTTATAATTTGTGCCTAATACGAGAAAATGTAATAGTATTTATTTATTAAAAATTTTATCCTTATTGTTTAATTTTTCTTATCATCATATATCATAAGTTATAATTAGCTCTCAAACGAGACTTCTGTATTTCCCTGAATATCAATTTTAATGAAAATGGCATATTATTTGCATATCAGCTCATATATTATTATATTGTTGTATTTTGTGACGCTTGAATTTGAGGGAACAATACACTTTCTGGTTGAGACTTTAATTAACCCCACAATGGCGCTTGTTTTTTATCCATTTATTTATTTATTTTGTCCGATAATTGCATTTGTAAAAAACTGTGATGATTTCTTTGTCATTCATGAACAATGTACTTATTTTGAATGTCTCTATGTTTCAGGCATTTGACTGCCGTAATCACATCCGCGTGATTCAACCGACGGGCGACGGAACGCGTCTCTACGTGTGCGGCACCAACGCGCACAACCCCAAGGACTGGGTGATCTATGTAAGTATTGTTTGGCGAAAAATCGAAACGCTTAAATTACACAAGAAAACTGTCTCTCTCTTGTCGTTTTGTCGTCGGTTCCGTACTTGGTATGCACGCGGCGGACGAGTCAACAGCAGACGCCGGCGGGCTGAAACAATTTGTCAAAACGCGGCTGACTTTCATTGTGCGTAATCGAGTTGGAAGCTTTTGCGGTCTTCCGTCTGTCTGTCAATCTGCCACCGCTGCTCATAAAGCGCCAGTTTAAAACAATAATATGCAAAATCCGGCCGACACATGTACGCGAATACACCCCTGTTTAGCATAGCGCAATGTGCTGCGAGAGCGGCAGAGCAAGATTGTTGCCGCTATGCGTGTCTTGCACATTAGATTACCATGCGAATCACGAGCGTAACTGAATTATCTCGCAGCGAGGGCAAAACTAACTTTGCGCCCCACTCAAAGCCCTGCTTGCTCTGTCTACCTGGCGGGTGAAAAAGTGAGCCTGCGAAATTTCATCCTACACCGGGCATAGAGCAAATATTTTGACTCAAAATTAAATTTGGCACCGACTTTATACAAATCAAAATTGTATATGTACCAAAATAAACTCCGGACTCGCATAGAATTAAAGCCATTCCTCTTCCCCAGAGCAAATTGCAAAGTTCCTAGGGTATAAATTTCAGTGTCTTTGCGGCTCTAATAACGTTTCTTGTGTAGACAAAGGAGATTTCCGCACCGCCAGAACATCTGCCTTGTTTCTCTAGCAAACTTTTTGCCACACACACGCAGGCTGTTTAAATTTTCAGGTAGCACCCGACCGCACGAGCCCGAAGAAACGCGGCTCATTAGACGCTGAATGGAGAAACGTGTGCGAGGCGAAAAGGCAATTCTAATGATTTGTGCGCAATCTTTTGTTTGTCTTGCCCCGGTTTGTTCAGGGACTATCGCCACTCTTGACATGTTTAATTTCCTCTACTGAAATGAGGAAGTTGCTGTTTGCTTTTCTAGACGGTCTATTTTCAGACCATAAATTACAGTGCCAAAATCAATGTTTGGTGAATAATGAGGCCTAAAACTTGCTAATCTGTTATTTTACAATTAAATTCAATGGGAAGAAACGCATATGAAAATAGTGAAAATGTTGATTCCTCGGAGAGAATACACGATTATAATATTTAAAGTTGATGAGAATGGTAAGCAAAATTTTATTTAAAAATTATCTCAATTTATGCCTGCTTTCGTGTATTATAATTGAATTATTCAAAACATATAATATATATTTTATTAAAAGATCAATTTATAAAAAGCAGTACTAGAAATTCAAGCATCTTTTTTTTAGCAATAATAAGCCCTCATTTTGTAAAAAGAAGGGAAAAGTAGCAAATTCTTTAATGATGGCAACCCAAGCGAAATTACATAACGACCACATTTAAGAGTGAGGTGCGCGGCGCGAAATTTATTCATGTGGAGTCGCATGCAAGGAGCGGCGGCAATAACAATAATGCTTCTCCGGCTGCCAGCAGCGTCTTAGTTTAAATAAAAATGGCCTCTGCGCACTGCTGGATACGGCGGGACAAAAATCTCAGTCTCCTTCGCGAGTAAGTAGAGTGGAACAAAATGCCTTCATTTAATGCAACGACTACGGCGCCAGGCCAGCTAGAAATGCTGCGCCGTGAGTTACTTTTTTTGCAAATCTCCGTTGGGTTGTAAGGACGGGCGCTGTTGGCTGGAAAATTATCCTTTGTTTCTCCACCACATCGCGAGGAACATGGGAAATTAAACTCCTACCGCTTCCAACAATTGTTCATCCAGACTTAAAAACATTAGTTTTCTGTTATCAAATTTATGTATAATGAATATAAATTGAATTTAATATTATGAAGTTCATTTGAATTACTGGATAAGTAAATTTTTTTAAACAATTTTGATAAAAGAATCAGATTCCGTATATCATACCGAGTTAATTTCAATTTCAGAATTAAATATTTCAACTTGCTGCCTATAAATTTGGCCGTTTCCATCGATGTGCTGGCTGGAATGTAAATACTTGATGTGATTGCGAGGGAGCAGCGGCAGAAATACAACTGCCACTCGCAATTTATTCGACGGCAGCTGCAAATCCTCTGGGAACCGAATAATGCCTCTGCTGATGGCGGCTCAATGGCGCCGATAAAAAATTGAAGTGTTAAAAAAAATACGACATCGATTTGCAGCGCGCGTGTGCCCGACGGCGGCTGCTAAATTGTTGCGTCAAGCGAAAAGTAAAATACAAAACGGCCGTGGCTGCGAAAACGAGCGAATTCGCGTGTCAAAAGTGAAGAAAGAATGGCTCCCTCGGGGGTTGGTTGCGGTGTTGAAAATGGTAATTGCCGCTCCTTAGGCCACCCGCTCACTCTAAATGTAGCACAGGGCAAAAATTACCACTTTTGCAGCCGCTTTCCCCAATTCATCTCCCGCGCACGGCCCGTCTGCGAAATTAACTGGGAATTTTGAAAGGAAATCTACCCCGTGGGGAACTGCGCGAAACACTTTTGCTACAGGGGCGTGTAAATTTCTGTGAAATTTGGAGAGAACAAGTTCAATTAGCGGAAGGGAGGAAGCTCTGAGTTTATTTCATTATCGCTTTTTATTTAGAGTAAAACTTCCTGAGCGCGATATTAAGAAAGCTTTCCGAAATCTTGTACCAAAAATCTTGCGTGCTTCAAACCGATCGCATCTCAAGAGAGGAAATTTACGAGCGCGGAAGCACCAATTTTTATCTCTTTTTGCCACATGCCGGTGAATTAATTTTAAAAACGCCCGTTTTACGAGCGCCATTTGAACGAGCACACACATACTCTTAGGAATTGCACAACTTTTGCACGCACGCCTACAGGCGGCGCTTTGCTCTTTACACCGAAAGTAGTTTCCAGCAGCGAGTCCTTTTTGTCGTCGCTTAAAAAGAAAAGACTATCAGTAGGGCGGTGTATAGAGTGGAGCAGGGGAAGGAAAAAAGTGATTGCTTTCTTTAGAAAGGCACCTTCCTGCTGACTTCAATAAGGTTTCAATTACTCCTTCCTTTCAAGCCCCTTGAAAAAGTTAATGAAAGATTTTCTAACGAAGTTTTTCTCGATCGCGTTTGCCTTATCCGAGCGGCGATACAGGCCTTTGATTGATTCGACCCAAACGACCTGCTGCATTTGCGTGGCGGCTCCCTTTGCTTGTGTGCTCTTTGTCTGTACCAAGCAAAGAGCTTTTGCTAGATCACAAAGGGACCCTTGTTTAATTTTTTTGCTATTGGAATCTCTGCATACTGGAACGCTAAAAGTTTTAAAATTAAAATTAAAAGTGTATATCATTTGTATAGTATTTCTTAATATAATTTCTTTAAAACTTTTCTGCATTCAAATATAATTATTTCAAAATGTTGTTAGTAAACATTTTACAATTACAAATAATTGTTCCATTATAAAATATTTTGTACTTGCATTATTTTATCCATTGCATTTTTGTATTTATTCTATTTTAATTTCTTGTATTTTCTGTGTTCACAGTCCAATTTGACGCACTTGTCGCGCAACGATTACGTTCCCGGCATCGGCATGGGCGTCGCTAAGTGTCCGTACGATCCCAACGACAACTCGACAGCAGTGTGGGTTGAAAAAGGCAACCCTGGTGATCTTCCAGGTCTGTACAGCGGCACCAACGCCGAGTTCACCAAGGCTGACACGGTCATCTTCAGGACGGACCTCTTCAACATGACCACACGCCGAAAGCAGTACTCGTACCGCAGAACCATCAAATACGATTCGAAGTGGCTTGACAGTGAGTATAACAACTTTTATAGCTCCTGCGGAATTCGAAATTAGGCAACCTGCCATACTTCGGTGTTGAACAGGTTGCCTAGACTTAGAAAATCAAGTGGCGGAGAGATTGAAAAAGAGGCGGAAAAATTTCCTTATTTTGTAGCTGAATTGAAAAAAATTTAAATTCAAGTCGAGCAAAATGTTAGAATGATGGTTAAAAACTGTCTTGCCTTATGAATAATAATTTGTGGTTAGACTCTAATGCAAAAGAGCAGTTTTTCAACTGAACTATAGTCTTGAATTTTTTTTATAATTTCCTTCCTCATCTGCATCAACTAGATTCCACTTTTTATAAACGTGATAAATCACCTAATTGCACAGACCCGGTAAGAAAGACCGAGTAATTACATTTAAAGCAGCATTTCCCGTCATTTTCCGCGACTAATGGGTCATTCGCGTGACTGCCGCTGGAAAAACGCCCGTCCGTCTGAATCATTAGATTCTTTCTCCGAGGAGCCATCCGTCCGTTGGTTCGGTTCTTGCTCAATTTGCCGTGTTCTGCAGGCAGCAGTGATTGGTGCAAAAGTTTCTTTGTGTGTGCTGGTATATTCAAATGGCGCAGGAGGGCTGCTTTATTGCTCGTAAAACGCTGGCGCTCGCACTCGATACCGTCGTAAATTTCTTTGTGCTTCATTACCTTCTTATATGGCGCGGCGCGATCAATTTGTAACTTTTGCAACTCATTTCTCCGTTTGCCGAGCGATCGGTGGGGTGGAAAATCGGCTCGGCGGCGCACTTGACCGCGAGATTGCGAATGATTATTTCGCCAGCAGTTTATTGTTTTCGAGCCGTTTGCAGCGACGCTGGCAATAAAATTCACCTGGCCGTCGCTGAAGCTATAAATTTCCATCCGGGCGGGCCAAAGTATGATATTAAAATCCCTCGCGCTGTAAAAAGACCGTGCCATTGTTGCCGAACTCTTAAAAAAGAAGCAAGAGTTGAGAAAGGGGGGGGACGGTGCCTGCTGAAAATTGCTCTGGAAAATGAGCAAAGTTGCTGTACTTATCAATCGGTTACGACTTTTTTACGACCTGCGTGAAAATTTTCATTAAATTATTCAAATTCTCTTGCGAATTTAGAAAAGTGTTCTGACTTTTAGAATTCTCGGGAATTCCTAAACATACGTTTACGTTCGAATCCACCTGTTCAAATTCTGAATCTCAAGGGAGGTTTTTCTGTCTTGCCGAGTTCCCTCACTCACAAGTCTCGAAATTGTCTTTTTCTTCCTCTTGTTTGGCGCGTCTCTGTGCGCTTCCTCTCCTCCCAGTCGCATTATAAGCTTTGACAAATTGTTAAAAGAACACCAGCCGCCGCGCGTTCTTTGATATTCCCCCGCCGCCCGTCTCATTGTGATGCCGCTTTTGTTGGCGAATTTCCCAAACGCTCCTCTTTCCTATTAACTTGTGCGATGCAGAATTCTCTTTTCGTTTCACGACACCTAGAAGGCCAGGGGCGACGCAGCTTCTTTTCCGCATAAATTTCACCAGCCGTGTAATAATGGAGCGAAATTAAATTCGCTAAAACAACAGGTTGCGCGCTTGCAAATAAGAGACGCTGGCTGCTTTCTTCTCTCCGTGCTGCATTGTTTTATATTAAACTTGCGCAAGATGTATACATCTTTCCCTCTCGTTGGAACAAAACGAAAAGATAAGGGTGCGACACGGAAATCGGAAGATTTCCTTCAAGCTATGGAATTTATTGATTTTATCACCTACATGTTATATTAGAAGGAAAAAAGGGAGGAAACAAGTTCGAGAATAAATGTCAGCAAATGCAGCCGACGACCGCGGGGAGAATAAAAGGAGGGAAAAATTACTCGCTGGCGGCGGTTATCAATTGATTTACGCCTCAGCTTTAGAAAAGTTTCGCCACCCCTGCTGATTTTTGACCACAACTTGTGAAATAAAGCGTGGTGCTGCAACTCTGCTTGCTATTTCTTCATGACGGGTGAGAGGGATAAAATTGATGGTTCCGTTTCTTATTTTTCCCTTGAAATTTTAAGCATTCAAGTTTCACTTAATTTTTAGTTTGCTCTGATAAGTACCTTTGAATTGCACAAACGTTATCGATCTGGTAGGTGCCTGGGCGCGGCCATCATTTGTAAATCCAATCATCTGATTGCAATCTGATAGTCGTCAGTGTCAAATGCACAATGTGAAACACCGACCCCCTTGCGTGCATTCGCTCCGATGGCCAGTTTGGTCCCTTTGACAAAACAATCAATCGATAAAGGGTTAAGTGCGTGGCCGGTTGCACGCAAATTTCGTTACTTGTCGGCTCAGTGGCCTGCGAGGCTGAAGAGGCGCCGCTTTGCGCCACTCGTTTGCCGTCACATTAGTTAGTTTGAGGGGCAAAAACAAAGAGGCTGCCGCACTTCAAAAAGAGCCGCCACTCTTTTCCAGCCGCGTCAAAGGAAATTTTTTTAATACGCCTCGTCAAAATTAAACAGCGGTTTCGCGCGCCGGACAAGAGGGTTGCGCGCGGAAAAACACGGACGCCAGTTGTAAAAAAGCAATAAAATGCGCCCTGATTCGGCAGAAAAATTCTTTCCCGGCTGCTGCTAAGAAGGCGGCTGTGCACGTCCAAGTATTTTTGTTTGCTCGTAAAAGCTGCAGAGAGGCTTTTGAATATGAAATGAGATGACTAGCCAGAAATAGTCGCGATGATAAATTTTGGAGCGTGTCGGTGGCGAGAGGGATGCGCGAAAGCTCATTCCATGAATTATTTTTTGCTCTCCAGAGGCAGCAGCCGGAGATTATTATTTATTTAAGTGCCAAGCGTGTGTCTGTCGCTCAAACGCATTAATGAGACGCGAAAGCCTGGACACGTCGAGAACGGATTTGTTTTAATGACGTGCCTTCGTCTGTCAACATTGAATTTTCTGGGATTTACACCTGTCACACGACGAGAGAAATTTGATTTTCAGTTCTCTTTAAATTTTCAGAATTTCCAAGTCTGGATTTTTTGCTGTGCAATTAAAAAGACTGAAAACAAAAGTCGGGACTGCTCTTATTGACTGGTGCAAGTTTTAATGAGCGAAAAGCAGCACGCGGCGCATCCATGTATAGGGATGAGCAATGCAGAGAAAACAGAGCGCAGAACACAACAAGGCGCCTCATCATCGGTTTCAAGTTGTTGGTTCTTTAGAAATGTTAATTCACCGCTCAGGGGGATAAATTCCGATCGCGCTCAGTGAAGAGCCGCCGCGGGTTGCTATCGACACAGCGCCGCGCTGACAGGGGGAGAATTATTATTTATTCTTGCGGTTGAAAGCAAAGAACAAGTTGCTCTACACAGCTCTTCATTGAGTTGCGGTCGACGTGGCCAGAGGCGTTCGAGGTGTGTGTGCACTTTGCGCTGAGCGCGCCCAAATGACTGATCGCTCTATCTGATAACCAGAGATGAGCGAGGACTGAATGTGACGGTCGCTTTTTAACACTGATAAAACTTTAGCCTTGTAAAAATTTCATTGAGAAAGTACATACAACATCATTATTCTGCGAAATTTTAGTGAAATATTAACACCAATTGCCCACTTTTGGCTTTTATAAGATATTTAAAAAAATTAAATTTATTTTTCATGAGAGGAATATAAAAAATTCACGCAAATTTACTGGTCATTTTCCATAATTAATGTTGAGAATTTTACTGTATTGTATTAGAAATTTTGTAATAAAATAATAATAATAAATTAGCAATTGGGAGGTAGATTTTTTGGATGAAAATTTAAAAAATATATATAATATCCCTATCAAAAATTAAAATAAGATAAACTAAAAAAAATCTCTAGAGAAATGCATTTTTATGATTGGAAATGGATAAAAGTAGCGGTTCTAAAAATTTTGGAGTCTGTTATTAAAATTGAAATTTCTATATTTTACCGGCTTCAATAAGGAGTGGCAAAAGTTTCGGTTAAATTTCCACGACGCAGGGATTTTTAACAATGTTTCCCCGACATAGCCCGCGTAGGTAGTAGAGGGTACAGTACATAGGCGAATTTTCATTGAAGATAGGTTGCACCGCCGTAGGCTCTTTGCTGGGAACGGGGCGCCTCCCCTGTCATCAGCCGCTCTCTCCTATTTACGGCCGTTGCTGTGATCTCTTTATGTGCATTAGCAGACTCCCCGTCATTATCACGTGTGTGTCATTTCCATTTTCCCTCGGCTGCATTTGCATTATTTGCCCCTTCGAAGTGCTTTTTGCCTTAAATGAAATAAAAGCTGCTCGACGTGTCCCCTCTGCTTGCCATCGTTGCCGCTCGGCCGGGCGTGCACTTGCGAATTAATTTTTAAAAGCACTCCATTGTGTGTCGCTTTCGCAAATCATTCAGAGGTAATTACCATTGAAACAACACGCTGCAAAAATAGAGACCGTCGATTAATCCGCGCACTTTTAAAAGCAGAAATTTGTTTGTTTTTTCGATTTCGACTAAAAATTTTTAATCTCTTTTTGGGAATTGACGCAGCTGCCGATTTAATACGCTAAGTCGACCGAGTGAACTTTTCCCGTATTTTATTCCATCGAGGCAAACATCAATTTAAAAAACTTTCGGAAATGTGCTGACCGCGTATATGGAGGAGGAAAGAGTCGTTTTTCTGCATAGCCGGCGGGCAGGCTCTGGATATATCTCTCGTCGGCCGCATTTAAAATATACAAAAAGTGATATGCAGGACGGCCTCTGGAGGATGTGCTCGGGTGGTTTTTACCCCGTGCGAGAAAGTGAGTGAAGGACCGCAGATAAGTAAGGGCTGAATCAGCACCCCCGACACCACCGGGTGCTCGTCGGACGAAGCAAAATGTAATTCCTGGGAGAAAAAGCCGCTCGCAGCCAAAATTTAATAGAATAATAATTTTTAGCCCTTTTGTGCCGCGTCGAGTAAATTAAAGCTGGATTAAGCGAGAGAGCTCCGTCGTTATTGCGTTTGCAATTTTGCGTGTGTGCCGCTTGGGTAAAGAGTTTGCCAAGCATAGAATCAGCGCACTCATTGGGAAAAGGTTTCATTTCGCGGATTACGCCCGACAATCTGATTATGTAACCTGGATTAGAAAAAATTAATCGTGATGCTGTCTTGCTAATTTGGAGGAAAAGCAGGTTCGTTAACATTTTCCATTTTCTAGCTGGCGACGAAACGAAATTCATTATGCATTCAAGTCAGGGTGGCTTATTCAGTTGATTATGTAAGAAAGAGATACACGCCGCTTCAAGCAAAACTGATTTTTGCCGGCTACTTTTTTCGTCCCAAATCCGGCGGCATTTTGTTGAACAAACGACGAATTCATTCATTCCGCGTAAAGCTCTCGACGAATGTAAATGAAGAAGGGAGAAAAAGAGAAGGCTTGATGATGATAATTCTTGTGCTGCCGCTTGTCTCTTCCACCCAGCAGCTCTTGATTACACCGCGCGGCGCAAAAGCAGCAGGCAGGATAATAATAAAAAAGATTCATGCGCCGTGTAATTTAATTTTTGGCCTTTAACGAACACAGTCGGCTGCAGATAGCGCTCTCCGCTGACAAATGTATACTTTTAAAATTCACCTGCGCTCGCTGTCCGAAACGTCACAGAATTTTGAACAAACCCTGGCTTGTTAGTGAAAATAAAAGGCACAAGAGCGAGCGAGGCGAGCGCCAAATGAACTCGGCGCGTGTATGCAAAAAGGGGAGCCCACCGCGTGCGCCGACTTCATTTTGGGCGAATTTGTGACATCTCCCATTTTATATTTCACTTGTTACTTTCTGTTTACCCATGGAGAAAATTGCGCTTTTCCTGCTCTCTGCTCCGGCACACAGCGAGAGAGCCCAAATGCAAACTACTGCCGAGGAAAAGCCCGGCTGCTCTCTGTGCGAAATTTGCATTTTATGAAACACCGAGAACGCAATTTCGTCTCTGCCACTTGTTTTATTAAATGAAAAATTTACACTCGAGCTGCTGCATAATTTTATTATAACTCGTGCGCTTTTCATTGCAGAACCCAACTTTGTCGGATCCTTCGATATCGGCAACTACGTCTACTTCTTCTTCCGCGAAACGGCCGTCGAGTATATCAACTGCGGCAAGAACATCTACTCGAGGGTTGCCAGAGTGTGCAAGAAGGACACTGGAGGAAAGAACATCCTCAGCCAAAACTGGGCCACTTACTTGAAGGCTAGGCTCAACTGCTCCATTCCAGGCGAATTTCCTTTCTACTTCAACGAGATTCGTGAGTATCTTTTTTCAACAATATTAATTTTAGGAATTTATTTTTAAATTTATATTTTAAACCTTAATTTGTCATATTTTATTACAGAGAGCATTTACAAAGTGCCCGGTGATGATGAAAAGTTCTACGCAACATTCACTACCTCGATGAATGGTCTGATGGGCTCTGCAATTTGCACTTTCACCATCGAAGACATCCAGACTGTCTTCAAGGGAAAATTCAAAGAGCAGGCCACTAGCAGTTCAGCTTGGCTTCCTGTCCTTAGCAACAAAGTGCCTGAGCCTCGACCAGGCGAGTGTGTCAACGATACCGAAACTCTACCTGGTATTTCTTATTGGAATAGTGAATGTGCAAACAAATTAATATTGCTTTTTTTAGACACCGTTTTGAACTTTATTCGCTCTCACCCTCTGATGGACTCGGCTGTGGGTCACGAAAACCACAAGCCGGTTTTCTACAAGCGCGATTTGGTGTTTACCCATCTTGTGGTGGACAAAGTCAAAGTGATCACTTATGGAAATGAGCAAGAATACACAATTCACTACGCTGGTTCAAGTAAGTTTTTGAAACAAAGTTGTGAAGAAAATTATTAACTGGTACTTCTTTTTAGATAACGGCAAAGTGCACAAAGTTGTCCAGTGGTACGATGCCAATGGAGATTCATTCTCCAACCTTCTGGATGTGTTTGAATTGACTCCAGGGGAGCCAATCAGAATCATGGAAATCTCTCAGAAGGTAGTAAAATACGATCTCAAAGTTATCAAAAAATAATAAATATAAAATTTAATTTTCCAGCACAAATCTCTGTATGTGGCCTCGGACCACAGGGTGCGCCAGGTCGACCTAGTGATGTGCAACAGGCGTTATGACAACTGCCTCCGATGTGTCCACGACCCCTACTGCGGATGGGACAAGGACACCAGTTCCTGCAAGCCTTATGCCAAAGGGTGAGAGCCAGTTTTTAATTAAAATTTGATTCTTTAAAAGTAATAATTTCTGATCTTGTATTGCAAATTCAATTAAAATAATTGAGTTTAATATGCAATTATGCATTTTTCATGAGACTTTTTAAATTTACTATTTACAAAAATCTATAAGACAAATTTTAAAATTAAATCCAATCATATTTTCAGACTTTTGCAAGATGTGACCAACAGCTCAGCCAGTGTCTGCGAAACAAGCATCACCAAGAAGAAGATGGTGGTGACCTGGGGCCAGAGTGTGCACCTGGGCTGCTTCGTGAAAATGCCTGAGGTGCTGAGCAGCCAGACAGTGAGCTGGTACCACCACAGCAGGGACAAGGGTCGCTACCAGATCACCTTCCGGCCAGACAAGTACATCGAGACCTCTGAGCACGGCCTGGTCATCATTGGGGTGCGCGAGGCAGACGCTGGACGGTACGACTGCTTCCTCGGTGGCTCCCTGCTGTGCAGCTACAACATTACCGTGGACGCCCACCGGTGCAGCGCACCAAGCAAGTCTCAGGACTACCAGAAGGTCTACTCAGATTGGTGCCACGAGTTTGAAAAGTACAAGCTGGCCATGAAGAATTGGGAGAGAAAACAGGAAGTGAGTTCAATTCTGTTTAAATATTAGCATGAATTTATATTTTTGGCACAAATAAAAATTTTGAAACAAATTTGAAGTGACGAGCAAAATTTTAATTATTTTGTTAATTTGCAGCAATGCAGCTCAAGGTCAAATGACAGCAGCAACCAGAACAGCCATCCAAATGAAATCTACCACAGGTCATCCCGGCCCTTGGTCTGATTCCCTCAGCCACCTCAATAAGACTCGAACCTGATTTCAACCGTAGTTCAACTTGAAGGGACAATTATTTTCGAGTGAGCTGGAGCATGAATGTGTTGCCGTGTGAATCTGTCTACTGAGCTAGCAAAAATCAGTTGATTGCTCGCTGCCCGGCTGCCGAAATAAGAAGATTCTGCCTGTCCGAGAGGCGACGGCCAGCGAGTGTTTCTGTGATATTCTAACTTTCTTATGGACAACTATGCAAAAAAAACTGAGTATTTATTACCACTACTATACCACTGAGGCCGAACGAGCTACAAACATATGTGAATGATTAAAAAGCAAAAAAATGCCAGCAAATCAAAAACTAAATTGGAGGGATAAAATTTGTGTAGAAACTTGCTTCGGGTTATTTTGACTATATACTTTTGCATTACTGGCTGGTCTGTGATGACTGAGAGACACTTTCGTAGAAAACTATCGGCGGAACCTCATTTTTTGATAAGAGAAGGACATCAGTGATGCAAATTGCTAAATAAGAAATGGACCTATATATGTGTACTTTTGTTGACATTCAAAGTGTATAAATGGAGAAAATATTTTGTGTGTAGTGGCCAAGTGACTGTACGAAGTAAATCTGAGTTTTGCGCCGCGATTCGACGTCCAATTGCGCGATTCGAGTGAGATCGAGCAAAAGCTGACCGGTGGGACAATCAACGAGCCGCAGGAGTGGACGATGCACCGCAATTAACCGCCGGTCAAGATCAAACACTGCAGCCAATCTGTTGTACATTATAAATGAGCGTAGGAATGCATTCTCGCAGAGTAACAAAAAAAATGTACATTACCCTGTAAGTTGAATAATTATTTAGACTCGCTACACAATAAGATGACGATGATGATGGCTTTTCATCTCTACTTAAACTTTAAGAGCTTGTTACATTATCAAAATCTTTCAAACTAAATGTGTAAAATTTAAAAGAGCGCCAGATAAGGAGATTGTATTGTAAAAAGATTAATTATCACACTTCTGAATGAAAAGCCAGGTAAATGAGAACGAGTGCAAATTTAAGCAGGGCAAGAAAGAAAAATCTAAATTGATTTCAGCCTTGTCACAGTGTTGTGTAAATATAGAACATTTTCGAGGCATGTAGAAAAAAAAGAAAGCTAATTCCGTATACACAAAAGAGAAAAGCAGATCTTAAATTAAAGTAAAAACAAATGTATGTTCACCACTGCAATAAAAAAAGTACGGCGGAGCAAATTTCCTCGTTAATTTAGAAGGGGACAGTAGAAATTTTGAGTGTACTGCAAAGCGCATTATTTTTTAGTTCCAACGCCAACTGCAGCAAAGTGTAAAATTTTATTACTTGAAATTTACAGAAATTGGAATATAGCAGAACATTTTGTGAATCGATCATGAGAAAATAAAACTATTATAAGAAAGAACAATACATTAATTATTGTGTTCTTTGTTTGATTCCCAGAAAAAAATTAAATCACTTAATCAGAGTAAGTTAAAATCTCTGTTTATTTCAAATGAGTACACTTCTTTACAAAGGTTTGTCATGAATGCAGTGACAAGTCAATAGTTTTAAAAATATTAGTAAGGGTAAAATTAAAAAGAAGGATTTTTGGATTCCATTTGTCAACCATTACAAAATTTCCTTCGAGTATTTCAAAGTAGAGTTACTGAAAATATTTGTTATGCAAACTTCATCAAATTTACATATTATTTTGGGGAGGCCAGAAGAAGGGTTGGGTGCCGAAGGACGGCGAGGCAACAGGCACCAGTGGCCAGGAGCTCCTGGGGGCAGCCTGAGCTTGCAGGGCTTTACGACGGGCCCAGTACTCTTCAGCACTCTCAGTCAGAGGGTGTTGGGGCTAAAAAGAATTATAGCAATGAAAAAATCAGGATTTTCTTTTCACTGGAAAAAAATTGCATACCTTTTGTTGAGGCCTGAATGTGGCTTGGCCCATCATGGGCTGCTGCTGGTGCCGAGGAAGGTTGGGACGGTCGTGACGGACCAGCTGGACGCGGACTTCGCGGCCACACTGGTCAGGCAGAATGGCGAGCAGCTTCCTGCGAGCCACGGCCGCAGCCCTGTGGCTTTCGTACTCGAGCAGGGCGCGGGTGGCGCAGGTCCAGCGCACGGCACGCACCCCTTCAGTGTGCTCCTGCACCAGGGGCTCCAGACGCTCGCGGACACCCGTCCACGGCAGGTTGGACACCTCCACCTCGCAGTTGTTGCGAGACTCGGACACTCGGATTCCGGTGCGTCCGCTGCCAGCCAACTGCAAAATTTTCAAACAAATAAAGGGTTGAATTGTATTTTAGGATAAAAATTGTAACTATTGTTTATGTATGATATAAATGCTGGGCACATTTTTTTTACATATTTTAAGCTCAATATTTAATTAAACATTATTTCATAAATATACACAAAATGGAATAGAAAAGACTAGAATTTTGAACATATGAAAATTAGAGGACCTCCAAACCAAAACGATTTTTCACAAAAATAAACAAAATAAATCGAGAATCCATTAATGATGAACAGAAAAGAGTTCACAAGTCATAAGAAAATTAATTTGAAATTAAATCTCTTGGTCCTTATTTATTTGTTCAATTACCAAAGTGCAACAAAATTATGATTTTTTTAACAGAAAAAAATAGGAGCATAAAATGGTGGATAAAATGTATGTGTGAATAGGTCACTAAAAAATTCTCACATCAAAATCACGAAAAGACCCATCGATGAATTTGTCCAGTGGGGGACAGTAAAACTTCAACCATGGATCATTTTCCATTGTTGGGCTGTTCGGCTCAAATCAAACCTTTTAGCACAATGAGGGAAAAGAAAAACTGAAGAAGGAGCAGCTTTTAGTTTGGAATCTCAAGTTGGAATGTTAATGAAATGAAAACCGATCTGGTGCATGATATGACAAATTCCAAACAAGATAAAACAAAGCGGATCCAGAGTCCCAGACATCCAGACGGAAGACAAGGGAGGGGGAAATCCTTTTTTTCCTCCCGCCCAGTGGAGCAAAAGCGCAAAAATGGAAAATGTTGCAAGCGCGCAGTTCACTCTTCACTGACGACCGCGGGTGAAATTAATATACATACCGCGTGTTTGTCCAGGGCATGCATGGCCGCTATCGCGTCCTGGGTCCTGCAGAACTTGACGTAGGCGAATCCACGGTGGGTGCCGTCGAAGTCGAGCATCATCCTCACCTCGTACAGCCGTCCGAAGGCCTCGAAAAGCGGCACGAGCACGTCCTGTGACGTCACGCGACAGAATAAAAGGTTGGTGATTTTAACTCTGGGACTTTACCTCGAAACAGTTGGACGGGATGCGGGACACGAAGAGCTCTGCAGAGGCCGGGGGCGGCGGGTCGTTGCCCCAGCCGGGACACGGGCCGCCGTAGCGACGCTGTCCGTTTTCTTGCACCATCACGTAGCCGGTGCGTTCGACCAGCTCGAAGAGGCGCTTTTGCAGCCCTTCTTTGTCCAACTCTTTGACCCTGTCGCCGGGGGTGTCACGTCTCGGGGGGTGGCTGCGGGCACGGTGCGACCTGTCACGTTGCATTTTGGGCCGAGAATGGCCCTCGAGGGACGTGGACGTCCATTTTCGGACGTTTCTCAATCGTTCGGTTTTCTCTTTTGGGAAAAAAGCAGCGCGAATTTTTGAAAGTTTTGGAACTTTCACTCTGCGGAATTGCGCTCTAAATCGAATAATATATATGCAATGAAACTGCATTATAACATAATGAGTTAATTAAATGGGGCCTGGAGAAGCTGCTTATAATGTTAACTCAATAAAAATAAAAATAAATCATTTTGCAAGTGACTTTCATGCATGGCATTGTAATGAATGAGCTTCTGCATAAATACCAAATGTGACGTGGCAAAAACATTTTTTGGTCATTTTAAAGTTCCATTTCTGAAAATCTGAAGGTATATAACGTGTGGTGCTCTTATTTATTATCAAATATTCACATACTTCGATCGTCTTTGTATATGGCCATTGCATAGACTTTTAAAGTGTCCGAATATTGAACCGCGAAATGCGCGCGCCGCCGCGCGCACTCCGTTGTATTATATTTCTCTATGTTATAATAAACTCAGATTCGTTTTGTCTATCACATAAGACTGACGTCTCTCATTTCGCGCTCTCGGCCACGGCCGAAATCACGCAGCCCTTCTAAGTCCATTTAGGTGTGTGCGGCGAGAATCGGCAGGGTAACTTGCCGGGCATCAGATCAGCATGAAAGTCTCGCCGCGGCCCCGCGCCGGGCCGCCTGAGAGCTTCAGTGGAACACACCTCAAACGTAATGGAAATGTAGTTTACATTATTTTCGATTGTATTTTTAGTTAAGCCTTTTACTTAACATAGAGATTAAAATCTTGTAAGTTACAACGTAAGAAGCAAGGTAGTAAAGAGTCGAGACATAAAAATTATGATTTTAAAATATTTTCGTTTTTTTTTATTCAAGCATTATTTTTTATGAACGGTGATTTTTTTCAAATCTAGCTATTATGTACATACTACAATGAAGGTTATACTCAACGGATATTTAAGGCATTTTTACACTATTTGCTTTTGCACATAAAACATTTAGTTAAATATGATCAATAATAATAAAAAAAAAATTAAAATCTGCTTAGATGTTTCTTTGTTATGGTTATATCTTTGACAAAGTTATTATTACTAAGGAATACATTCGAACATAAAAAAAACAATATTATTTTTAATATGTGTCAATAGCATTAGATAGGAAGCTCTCTATTCATCGTCAGCTCTTTTAAATCTCTTTCCTGGACTACGGGGAATTACTTTTTTGCCAACGTTTATTTCGTCAACCAATTTGTCCAAGTCACTTTGAATCTGGAAATTAAGTAAATAATTTATACTCATTTCGCCTCTTATGATTAAAAATGCGCAGTTGTTTGAAAATTGATTGTACCTCTCCCATGGTGTAGCCATTGTCCCCATAAGCCACGCAGGCGATCACTTGCTTAGGTTTGAAGTAACGGAGAAAAGCAACAAGTTCTTTGTGTCCGCAGTGTCTTGAAAGGGCTATGCGAATATTGCGACCATCCTCAATCTATAAATGCAAAACTATCGTCAAAAATGATATATTCATTGAATTGAGGAAACTCTTACCCGGCTTTGTTTGGTCAAATTCTTTGCAAAGTATAAAGCGGATGGAATAATTTTCAACCTACACGTGGCTGAAGGTTTGCAATTTATTTCTCGCTAAATAATTCAGATAAATTAAATATAAATAATTATGAAACTCTAATTTTTTAAATTTCAAAATATCTGTTAAAAAAAAGACTTGTGAAAGAAAATAACTGTAAAAAAAATAAATGAATTGAATTGAATTGAAGTAAAAAAAACATAATTCACATAAATATTATGCGCTTGCCTCCATACAAATGTGTACATTGCGCTTGCTTTCATTTTCCTTTGTGGTCAAACAACATGTAATTTCCTTAATCCCTTCATAATATTGGAATGAATCTTGGTGCATCCAAATTTTAATATTGTATTTGGTGAAAATTTCCATTATGATTTCTTCTGAACCAACATATGCTGAAAGTAATTTAATATTACTTTTTTATCCTCCAACTTTTTATAATAAATATAAGAAAAAACAAATACATATATTAACCTGGTTGTTGGATTTGAATGAATGTATTTTTGTCCTTATTCAGAGCTCCATCTATTTCTTCCTTTATCATTTCCAAGCTTTTTTCTAATGTTGGGAAATCTTTTGTTTTGTTTACTTGATGGAAAAAAGTTGTATCTAAATAAACCAAGTCCATCTCCTTAGCCGTTCCGTCTTCAAAATGAAGCTCTTTTATATCGGGCAGCTGTGATTCATAAAAGCGGAAGTCTCCAGTGAAGAGCACTCTTCTGTTATTTTCACGCTCAAAGAGAAACCTATAAAAATTTGATTTTTGACTTTTTTATCTCAAATATTATATAATATTACATGCATGAGCCCAAGCAATGATTTGCTGGTATTGTAGTGACTGCCAAGGTGTACGGATTAGGCACCACTTCCCTTTGTTCACTGGGACTGTTTTTTCGAAGTTGAAAGTTGATTTCTATTGTGTACTTGAGACCCAACTCCAATACTTCAATCATTGAATCAAAGCGATCAGTGGCACGATCAGCGGCAGATGAGTTGCTCCAGAATAATTTGCGCCTAATATTTCTAAGAATTTGCAGACTTTCTTTGGTGCAGTACAGTTTTGTGTTTTCAAATGGAGTGTTAATTAAATTCTCAATACTTCGCATATGATCTGCAACGCACAATTAATTGTAGCATAAATTCAATTCTACATTATTATAATATTTATTTCTTTGAAAAAAGTCATGTTTACCAAAGTGGCAGTGAGAAAGGAAAATTGCAGGGCAAGAGTTTAATTGATCTTCATCAAATCGGTCAGCGGCAACTCCTTCAAAGCCTTTTATGAAACCATCAAATTTAAAATGTTCCGTCTCCGCACCCTCACTTATTTCATCTTGCATTTTCCTTAACGCATTTTCCGCCTTGATTTAGAACAGTTTGCGTTTGAAGTGTCTTTTTAAACTTAAAATAATAGTCATCGTCAGACCTGTTCCTTGGTGAAGTCATTTGGTATGACGCAGGGAACTGCTTTAGTTGGTTTGCACATTTGTATCAGGGCTTTTACTTCCTCATGCGTCGCATGAAGGGTGTGCGCCACAATTATTTCCTGTCCACTTTCTTCGACCTGCAAAACAGCGTAGCGCATTATTCTATTAATTTTAATGCACCTGTTCAGTTTGTTTTAAAACTTGCCATTTTCAAATGTTCATCACCTCCAGCGTTGCTCTCAGACCAAGCGTCTTGCAATTTGATTCTCAAACCCAATTCATGGTTGTAACAGGGATCCTAATTAAAATTTTACTGGTTGACAAAAGGATGTAAGATTTGTATAATTATTGCAGTACCAAACACATGTGAATGCGTGCTTTGAATGAGCTAGTTAAATAAGGATCCATTTGTGGAATGCATTTGTATTTTTTGTTCATGTTCCAAGACACATGAATTGCTTCTCCAAAGTGCATGGCTAGCTGATTGATTATGTAGCCTTCCTTCTCGGGTTCATCTTCAAATAAATAAAATTTTAAAAATTACTTTTTAAACGTAAAAGCTATTTAAATTTAAACTGATTAACGAATTAAATCCACCTCGAGTGTTTCCAGTTTCCATTCAATTTGATTAAGTAATAGTACTATAATCTATGATTTCTATTCATTTTTATTTTCTTAATTAAGTTGCAGTTTAAATAATAATTTATGTTCTACTCACCAGAATGTATGTGAACCCTGCGGTAAACCTCATGATTTTGTACATTGTTTTCACTTTTAAAATTCTCAATCCTGGTGATTAAATCTTTGATCAAAAATTGCACACTTGGAAATTCATAAGAATTGTGCCGCAAAAACGAACAGTCAACGTAAAGTGCGTCTAAGCATTTTAAGCTTCCGTCTGGGTTGCGCAAAGCCCTTATTTGTTGAAGTTCGTCCTTAGAGTAGCGGAAATCAGATGTGTACAAAATTGTTTTTTCTTCTGTCTCAAACAAAAACCTGAAAAGAAAATAATTATTATCATTCTAGAATTTTATAAATGCACATTTAAAAGGAAAGTGTCTGCCAATATTTGAATTTGTGAAAATTTTTGATACACACATAGACGAGCCGGTGCAGTGGTTGGCTTCAATTGTTGTCACTATCAGTTCCTTATTGTCTTCACGAGGCAAAGTAATTACAAAGGTTTCATTAACATCAAATGATTTAACTTTAAATCTTGAGACAAAGCGACGGTTGACATTTTTAATTATTTGCTCAGTTCTTTTGCTGCAAAATAGTATTTGTTCACTTTTAGATTGGCAATCATCGGCTGCTCTCTTGCAAAATCGCTGAAAATCGTCTAGAAATTGATAGACCAACTTGTTTCTTCAAAATTTTAATATAATACTCGCTCTTTTTTTATACCATTGTGGACATTTGAAAGGAAAAAATATTTGCATTTTTCCAAGTTTTCTTCTATGAAGCAGTCCACAGAAATGCCTTTAATCTCGTGAATGACAGCATATGAGTTAGCCGTTATTTCCTCTGTTTCAAGTTCATTCTCATCGATAGACCCATCAAATGAATTGGCCATATCCTTTTAAAATCTAGATCAAGAATGGATCATATTATACATAATTATTGTATGGTTTACTTTATAGTATCTTGAAACTCGCAGACAGTAAATAATTTTGTTAGGAATTAAATCAAAAATTTTGAATTTTGGTTTTTATGAATCTGCTTTACACACACTTAACATCAAGAACAAAAGACAGTACTTTATGCTAATTATAATATAAACATGCATGCACATTATCAATCATTTGGAGAATTAAAAATTTTATAATAAGATCATCCATGGTGATGAAAAAATGAATGATACCAATTATCCTAAACATTGAAAATTAATATTGTGTAAATAACACATAAATTAAAATCTAAAATCAATACAAGTCCCCAGCAGTGATTATTGTTAGTTGTGAGCCGCCGTGAAAGTCGGCATGAGTTCATTTTGCTGATTTATTATAAAATATTTTAATCCATGGTTTTATGTTTCTTGTTTTCAACAATACACATTATAAATATATCCTCTATTTTTGAGCTCCCACTTATTTTACATAGGTTCTATTATATAAAATTATTTTGATTATTTCTGACACTATGTGCGCTATGTGCTAAACGTACAAACAGGAATACTGGAAATATAGAAAATATTGGCCCGAAAATTTCCTTTTTTTTCTGCAGATCAAAATATGTTAAAAGACAAAAAAATATTTATCACTTGTAAATGTAAAGCTTTACCACACCCAAAAATAAAGGGATATTAAAATTTTTTAACTCATCTTGTTGACTGCGAATATCAGAGAGTCAACGTTGTACTTGTTAATTTCTGACTTTCAATTAATTTGTTTTTATCAAGAAAACTCTAAAAACTTTATAGTTTATCCAATAAATCAGCTTTACATACCGTTGCTGGCCTTGACGCTTGCTCGATCTCAACAGACTGGTGTTGCTGTGCAAAGCGAGACGCAAGTGTACTGGCGTACTTTTTGCACACCAGAAGGAGTTTTTTTTTAATAATGTGACCAGGAGGAGGGGGGGGAGCCGGATGTTCCACAGACTGATTTGGGCAACTCTCGCTTGCAAGCGCCAACTGCCTTGAGCCTCTGCGTAAGAGGCGCGTGCATATATAATATAACAAGTGAGTCATTTATTTGAAGGGCTCACGCTCAGGCTCATTGGTCACCAGTAGGCTCTGAAGCTCACTCTTTTAAAATTGAGGGCTCGTGCTCTCGCTCGGGCTTAGCATTTTTAAATTTTGAGGCTTGGGCTTGCTCTTGGGCTCATGCGTGGCTCATGATCCCACAAATTGCCACTTTTAAAATTTTTCCTTAAATCTTTAAGTGAAACACTAGGAAAGCCGCTGATACTCTCTGTCCGCTGAAGTGCGCTTTTAATTTTAAGTAAGACATTTAATTAAATAGTGTGATTTTTGTTGCTATTTGCTATTCATTGGTTGGTCCTTTGACCATTTAAACGGCAACGTGAGCAACGTCATTATATTCGTTTCTTTTTCAAAAATTCGCAAAAATTGAATAAAGCAATATTTATAAGAAAAGTAGATAAAAAAAGTTAAAAATCAAAGGGTGAATTTTTTTGTCTTGAGCAATCTGAAACGCAAACAAATAAGGCAGCAGTTAGTGAAGAATCAAAAAATTTTATAATATAGACAAGTATCGGTAATTTTTTATACAACAAGCATATTTTGTGATGCGAAAATCATGGACCTAAGGGATGTTGGGACACGGGATGTCACTTTTAAAAAATCGTTGATTTTTTTATCATTTTTCATTACAAATTTTATTTACATTCAAACTCCGATTTAATCATTTAGCCCAATTTTCTGGTTACTAATATGATCCTTAGGGTCAATAAATGAAGCAGGTGCATAATGGATTTTGATGTCCAAAGGTGGTACATAGCCACTGTAAAATCTAGACCAAGAATCGATCATATATTATCAATAATTATTGTATGGTTTACTTTTATAGCATCTTTAAACTCGCAGACAATAAATAAGTTAACTAATTAAAAGAATTAAATTTTAAAGCTATACCACACCCAAAAATGAAAGCGATATTCAAATTTTTTTATCTTACCTCGTCACTGTGAAAGAATATCATAGAGGGTTTATGTGCGCTTTTAATTTACCAAATTTTAATCAATCTTGTGATTTGTATGATATGCCAATATAATGCTAGAGTTAATTGGTTGATCCTTGTACTATTTAAACGGCAACGTCATGCCGGTTACTTATGTTCGCTGTTTGTTATTTTTCTGAAAATTCACATTGAATAATGATAAGATTATTTTTTAGGCTTGCATAATCATATCTGGTTTATAAATTGCAAAAGTGTAGTTGTGTTACTGTTGTCTTATAAAACTTCAGAAATGGAACACACTTGACCTTATTTTTTAATAATTTCATTTTAATCTGGTTTTTGATTAAAGAAGAATGCATGCGTTTATCGCATCAAAAGAAATTAGTAACAATTTGGTCAAATAAATAAATTATATTCTGATTTTTGAAAATCCATTGAGCCATTTAAATGAAATTTTATCATTTTAAAATTTAATAAATAATATGCCGCGCTCTTCAAATTACAAAGTTTATAGGTGTAGCTCAAGGGAAAACTGGTTTGCTTTTTGCGAATTTCTATTAATTGACTTGTTTTGAAACAAAATTAGAAACTTTTTTATGTATTTAAATCCTTTCTTATGGTTATATGAAAACATGCGGATGGGCTGGGATGATTGCATTTTTCGACCAAGAATGGCCCACATTATATTTTACTACAATATATTGAACAATAATTTTAAATATTGAATTAAACTCTATTCTTTGAAACCGCAGTCCAATTGAATTACAGTAGAAATAATTTTTGATGGTGCTCCATTAAAAATATATTTATTGTCACACAGTTAAAGTTAATTTTGTATCAGTTTTTAGCTTGCAAAACATTTCAATTCAAAGCTAATAAATCCAGTGTACATAAATATCATAATTTTAGGTGAATATCGTATTTTTTTTCTGATTTCAATTTGCTAAAAGTTTCTCTTTTTCTACTTTTGTAGAATTGCCACATTGGTAGTTGATTGGTAGTAAGAAAAGAACAGGAAAAAACATTTGATACACTATTAAAAAGTTTGAACCTCAAAAATTACTATTGTTCAGTTCAGTTTCCTTCTCTTGGCAGGACTTTGGGAGGTTAATTTCTTGTTGGCATTGATTTCGTCGACAAGTTTGTTTAAGTCACTCTGGATCTGTAATAAACATAATTGTTTTTATTTTCCCTCTTTATCAAGCAAAGTATTATTTGATATAAAATTAAAATCACCTCTCCCATGGTGGAGCCTCCCTTTGGGTTATCCACGCAAGCAACGACTTGCTTTGGTTTGAAGTAACGGAGAAAAGCAACAATTTCTTTGTGCCCACTGTGTTTTGAAATAGCTATGCGAACATCTCTATTGTGATCAGCCTCTCTTCGTTCAAGTTCCAACTTTTGGCATACAGAATAAACAGATCAATACTAAATTTTATATTTTACAGCAAAAGTTAAAACTCACCCGACTTGTCATTTCCAACTGACTTGCAAAGTACATTGCAGTTGAATAAATTCTCACACATGTCTCAACATAGTACGGTTTGCATTGTCTTGTGCTGTTCCAATACGGATATCTGTTACTCTTTTGAGTGTAGGACCCCTGAAAAAAATGAGTTTTGTAAAAATCCATTCAGATTCGAATTTACTTGCTGTCCTGCAAATATGTATGCTGCTTCGTCTCGGCGAGGAATCTGTTACCAAGCATGACTCAATATCTTTGAATCCTTTGTAATATTGGGCATGCTTATCATGAACCCAAATTTTTTTTCCAAATGTCCGGCTTAATCTCTTGTAGATTTCTCCAGTGCAAAGGTATGCTGTGTGTGATTTACAAAATTAGAATTAAATTTAATATGTTTTGGAAGTAAAACATGCCTGGTTGCCTGATCTCAATGAATGCAAATTTGTCCTTTTCAAAATATTCTTTGATTTCGCTTTCAATCATTTGCAAGCTCTCGTCTTCAGTTGGAAAATCTTTCTTCTGGTTCACTTGGTTGAAAAATGTAGTGTCCAAATAAACCAAGTCCAATTCTTTGACAGTTCCATCCTCAGAATGTAGCTCCTTGATATTTGGAAGCTGGACTTCATAGAAACGAAAATCACCGGTAAAAAGCACCGTTTCTTTGTTTATGGAATTTTCAAATAGAAACCTGTAAAATTAAGTAAATATTTTGCTAGTCGACTTTAAAATGGAATAAACGTTACATGCAAGAGCCCAAGCAGTGATTGGCAGGAATTGTGGTGACTGTGATTGTATAAGAATGTGATGCATCCCTCTCCGGTAGGTTCGGGTCATAGCACCTCTCCATTACATCAATTTGAATTGAGTTCACACCCCATTTTAGAGGTTGAATCTTTCTGAAGAATGAGTCATAATATCTTCCTTGCAAGTTTAAATTTTCTTTTATGTTGTTCAGAATTTTGAAGCTCTCTTCAGTACAATAAAGAGTTGAGTTTTGAAACGGGGTTTCCAGAAGATTTTCAATATTCTGCATGTGATCTATCAAATTTGGATTATATAAAATTATACAGATTAATTGTAAATTTGCGTGTTACCGAGGTGGCAGTGAGAGAGGAAAAAGGCAGAGCAAGTTTGTACATGCTTGTCGTTGAATCTGTCAACAGCAATTCCATCAAAACCTTCTATAAAGCCGTCAAATTGGAAGTGTTCCGTTTCTGCAATTTTCGTTGCCTCCTCAAGCATGACATTTAACTTGTATTCAGCCTAAATCAAAGTGATTTTAATGTCACAAAAGAGCCTTACTTGTAGTTTCAAATGTTTTTCTAAACCAAACCTGTTCCTTTGTGGTCTTCCTTGGTATAACGCAGGGTATTGCTTTTGCTGGGTTACAAATTTGCATCAAGCCCTTTACTTCGTCGAATGTCGCATGAATGGTGTGTGCCACAGTGAGCTCAGGTCCATTTTCTTCGATCTGTAAGTTACCTCAGATAAATTATAAGTGATTATTTTTTTGTTTGATCTTGCCATTTGCGAGTTTGATTCTTCTTCCTCAGTGATGTTTTCGGGCACAGTATCTTTCAATTTTATTCTCAAGCCCATGCCGTTGATGTCACAAGAAGAAGACTATAAAAATTATATTAAGAAATTTTTAATTTGCAATAAAAAAAATTAAATATATTACCATGCACATGTGGATGCTCGTCTCAGAAGCATCAGTCATATACTTATCCATATTTTGTACATTGTTATACATCTTTTTTATGTCAGATGAGATGTGAATTTTTTTCACAAAGTGCATTGAGAGCTTCTTGATCATCAGTGTCTCCTTTATTAGTTCATCTTTAAAAAAATATTAGAATTGTAATCGTTGTTTATTAAAGAAATAAATTATTTAATAATTTTAATTAATCAAACTTTTTTGCTGTGAAATTAATTATGTAAGTATGTTTATTTGTATTTTATTAACTCACTTGAATGTATGTGGACTTTTTCATTTGGATTTTCAAACTTCTCTATCTTTTCAATTAAGACGCGAGCCAAATTGTCTACAGTTGGGTATTCAAAATAATGATGCTCCAAAAAAGAGCAGTCAACATACAGTGTATCTAAACTTTTGTAGCTGCCGTCTAGGTTGCGTAGAGCTTTTATTTGCTGCACTTGGTCTGTTGTGCAACGAAAATCAGATGTGTAGAGAACAATTTTCTGCTCCGTCTCAAACAAAAACCTGAAAAATATTTTTTTTCCTCAGAACAAATGGAACGCTCTCTATCGATATTTTAAAGTTTGATGCAATTAACTGAGAATATAAATAAATTTCTGTTAACTTTTTTAACTCACATTATGGAGCCCATACAATGATTTGCATCAATCGCCGTCACTTTCAGTTCCCTGCCATTGGGTAGGGGAATTTTAAGGGTTTGATCGATATCAAATACTTCTATTTTGAATCCTGAAAATGAGACTGAACCCATCACATTCATTATCATTTGCTCAGTGCGGAGGCTGCAGTAGAGTGTTTTTGTGGGACTGACATAATATTGCCGGCTTCGATTGACGGCCTGCCCACAAAAGCGCTGAAAATCCTCTAGAAAATTTGAGACACATTAATGATCAGCGTAATTATAATTTTAATATCATTTGCCTTACCTTTGTGGTAATTTGAAAGAAAAAACAAGTCGCATCTTTGCAAGTTTTCCTTTCTGAAGCAGTCAACAGAAATCCCTTCAATTCCATCGATGAATCCCGAAAATTCGTTGGCCATTATTTCCTCTTCTGTAAAAGATGAATAGAGAATCAATAATTAAAATTATATCGCTTTAATATAATATTTTATCTTCCTGCAGATACCCTCATTAATTATTCATGGTCCTTCATTAATTTTAATTTTATATTTAATTATTGATAAAAATTTAAGATTGATAGTTTATATTTAACTGCAACATGCAAGAAAATTTAGCGATTTAATAAGTTCAATTAGTTAACCCATCTCAATCTTATACTGGCATCCCACGATTTTTGATTTATGATTTTTTAATTTATTAACTCATTATTTTTTTTTTAACATTGGCATATCTTAAATAATTAATCACCAAGGCACAAGGCTCAACCAAAGCACTCAACCACTAAGTTCAATATTATTTTTGTGCCCACTAACACCAGACCTGTTAAAATTGCAGATAAAAACCTTGCAAATCCCTTAATACATACATTTTCGTTTGAAAATGAGAATAACTAAATTAGTGTTGTTTTTTATATTGAAAAAATACATAACAAACAAATATTTCACATAATTTCAAAGCTTTAAAACATAACAAGACTTGCTAATATTTGATAAATGTTTTGCCTCATCCTTCATAAAAAAATGCTATTCTAAAATCGATGTCTCAATTCTTACCTCAGCACATAACTTAGTGCCTGAAAAAATGTCTACTGTTTCCCTCACTATTATTTGAATCTAGCTCTTGATTATAGACTTTACGGAACTTTTCAAACAATAAAGAGAGCATAAAAAAACAATTCCTGACCTGCTCAAGCTCCGAGTTGTTTACGTTTAAAAAGTTGGTAGTTGGTGTGCTTTTGTACCGCTGCTGCGCTGCTTTCCTAAGAACCTAGAAGCTAGCAGTAGGAGAGGGATGCCTCCATCCCACATCCATCCTTTGCTTTCATTGCTTTCTGTCAGCCGGCTGCTCGAGCAGCAGCAACAATAAAATAATAAGTTTAGTGTGGCGAGTGAGCGAAAGGCCAAATTTTAGACTCCTTCGCGCGGATGCAATTTTTTTTATGTTTTCGTTAATTTAGAGGAATTATATTTTCAGATTTTTGTAGTTAATTAATTGAATAACTTATTATTTAAATCTTCAATAAATATGGCCAATGGATTGAAAATTTTATTTAGCTAGACTAGTTAAATCGCACTTTTCACACAAAAATACTTAGCCGTTTTTAAATATATACAAAAAATTTCTGGTACTGACGAAGACCTACTAAGTTGCCGAAAGTTGCATCCGTGCATCCGTGGTCGAGACGTTTTTGCAGAAGATGAACCTGTAAAAAGATTGCGCACACTGCGAATTTAATAATTTGACACGATACTGGTTTATGTTGGTAAAGCAATTAACGGTTAATTCACGGAATATTGCGGAAAAGGTGGAAAATCCGTGGAAATCTTTCACGACGAAGAAATGGTTTTGCGTTCGAAACAAATCCCGACAAAATCACAAAACCACTTCAACAATAAATTATTATGCCGTAATAGACTGCGTGCCCGGACTGAGGCGGCCTTCGCCACAAGGAACACAATGTACAAAAACGTTTTTCACCTGTAGAACAACGAGAAAGTGGCCCGCAGGTCGTAAAACGGGCTAAAAGTGGGCAGAAAACGAAATGTGCGTGAATGAGGGCGTTTCCAATATGATCAAAATCACATAATCGGCCGGTCAAGTAGCTGCAGCGCTCGATTGGCGTAACGGAGGCGTATTAAAATAGCTTTTAATTGTTGATGAAACTTTTCCTCACTGGCGATCTCATCTCACTTTTGTCACGTGACTCCGCAAACACCAATGAAATGAGAATAAACCATGCACCACACGCTCCGCGTCGGGTTCTCGTAGGACAGATCTGTTTCAGCAGAGTGCCACCACTGCCACCAGGGGTTTTCGGGGGCACTCGGTCGCGCCTCTGGCGGCAATTTCAAGTTGGAGTGCGCTGAAAAATTTAATGGGACGTCCATCTGTGCGCTGTGGAAAACAAGCATGTCAATTTGAAAACGGCCGATTATTTTTTTATGACATAATGGAGTTCTGGGCTCCAATTTACGATTATATTTCAGCCTTACAGAATTAGACCTCTGGAGTCAAAATTCAATGGATTAATAATGCTATTCAAAATTCGAAGTCGAATCTTACCTTGGTGTTGCAAAAGTTCAATAGATCTAATCTAGTGGTGTGCCCGGCCGTGCGGCGCGCGCGGCGGAAATCAAATCGCGCCCCCCTTGCTGGTCCTGAAGGGTAGCCCGACGTGATTTGCATACGCGCGCAGCTGACGGGGCAGGTGCGCCGAGCCGCGGGGTCCTCCCGTTCGACCCCGGCGCGACTCGAAGGTGGCCCCGAACGATAATGGCGCCTCCGCGAGCGGTGAACGGAGGCGGGGAGCGTGTTGGAGTAGGCAGCACAGGGGTGCCCGGTTCTTGCCACCTGCAGGACGCCGTCGTCCTGCCGCTGTTCTCTCTCTCGTCTGTCGTCCTCTCGATGGCCAGCGGCTACTTCCGCTGCTCTACCGAGCGCCGTCCACTCGGTCGTCGTGACATAATTTTTCCCAATGATTTAACTCTTATTTGCTTATTTTCCCAAATTCAAATTTCTTCTTTCTCAAAATTTTAACTTCTTTTTTTTTCTGAAATTCAATTTCTACTTTTCTCAAAACTCAAAATTTATCTTTCCCAAATTTCTACTTTTGTTTAAAAGGGGCTATAATTTTGTTGTTTAAAATCCGTCAATTTTTTATATTTAAAGTGAACTGCTATTTATTTTCCTTGCCCTATCTAGTTACAGAGTTTTCTTTATCGCGCGCGTGTTATTTCTCGGTCAGCACTAAAAAAGTCTTTTCTCCGTCGTTTCTCTGCGAGCGGCGGGCAGTGTAATGGCCCACTGGCTGGCTCCGCGGCTCGAAACGGCTGCTGATTGCAACGCATAATTTTGCCTAAAACACATAGAAATGCACATTTTAGCACCCAGCCTATTTTGACTATTCCGTATTTATGCTACCTCTTAGGGCCTTTTGGGGCTGTTCGCTCCGTCCCTTGGTCGCATTTCGGCCGGACTTGGCAGGAGATAATCTAAGCAAGTGTTTCGGACACCTGGCGCTATGTGCAAGTCTCAAACCTCAGTAGGGCTCTCGGCCGACCACATGAGTTTAATGCGCGGCTGTGAACTCCGAAGAGAACGAAGGCCCTTTGCGCATTCTTGACCGGAGCTCCAGCAATCCGATCGAATTTTAACGTGCGGCCCTGAACTCCGAAGAGAACCTTAGACCTTTTGCATCGTTTGGCGATTCCTATAGAATGCCCCTTTTGCAGGGAAAACGGCGCTATTTATTCCAAAATCGAGCACCTCCCTTCGGCCATCACTTTTGTGTTATTTCTTTACTTTACTTTCGCGGGGTACCTTCTGATTGGGGCGGCCGGTCAAAAGCGAGCGGCTGTATTGGCTTGAGTGGTGGGTGTTTTAAGACTTGTTTTAAGACTCTACGCAGCGCGCGCTGAGAGGGATGAAAAATACAAACAACAAGACTGCGCGCTGTCGCAAGTTCGGCACTCTCGGAAGACTCAAAATTAATTCTAAATTGAATTATCCGAGAACCGATTTTTCACTTAAATTCCTTGGCCAAGGGTTCAACTTAAAATCTTGAACTAAATAACGCTCAACTCTAACTGAAAAAAAAAACTTTAATTCCAAATTCATAAAAAAAAACATCGCCTGTTTTTATTTGAGACTTTGCACGTTTGCGCCCCTGCAAATAAGATTTAATTAATTTCCTATGCATGCATTCCATAAATTCTATTTTTCCTTTTCCTTCTAATTTCTAATAGACCAATTACCAAAGAAATTGTTGCGCGGCGGCCACTCAATTATTATTCAGCCGCCGAGCGAGAGACAGAGTGCCTCTCTCTCTGCGTGCGCTGTGCAGGCGAGAGAGGAGAGACACACACAGGGCCGGCCGAGAGACGGCCAGCGAGAGCGAGCGAGTGAATTTATTTACTGGCGCGGCATTTAATTTTTCTCCCTTTTTAATTCGTTTTAATTCCGCTTCCCTTTGTTTTCTCTCAACTCAAATCTCATTTGCTAACTGAAAATTACTTCCGTTTTATTTAATTCTCAATTTGCACTTTCTCGATTCTCTTTTACTTTTCCCAGCATTTAAATTCAAGCGCTCAAAACTAATTTTATTTTTCCATGCAACTTTCAATTTCAATTCTACATACAAATTCTCATAAATTGCTGTCAACAATTAATTTTAAATTCTCAAACTGAAACGGCTTAAAAATTCAAAATTCTTTTCGAGCAATTAATAGAGAGAGCCGTGAGTTTTGGCAACTCCGGCCATTCCGGTGGTCCATCTTCTTGGAATTCTTCTCCTCGGCTGGTGAGAACCGACGCGCAGAGCTTTTCTCAAGGGGGTGTTGTGCGCGCCAGGGTTGTAAAAGTGCCAATCTCAGGTCCTTTTCAGCCGCATTAAGTTCATTCACGCGCACACATGTGTGCGCGGCTGCTTTCTTCCTGCAGAGAAGACGTCCAGCGAGGCTCGCCTCGCTGGCGACGCGCTTCTGCTCCTTTTGTTCAGGCAATAAAAACAGGCACCCTGATCTCCTTCGCTGCTGCTGCGGACAGCATTTCCTCCCTTTTCGTCTCTTGTTCACGTCAATCAGGATTTATAAGTTTTCGACACGCTAAAATGCATTTCACGGCAAAAAGAAACTCGACAGAGAAAATAATTTTCTTCCTTTTTTGTTCAATGCTCTGCCGGGGCAGAGCAGGCGCCCCACCTTGATTGGCTGCCGCCCTCGGCAGCCTTGCAATTAAGCTTTTCCTTAGTCAGCCTTTTCAATCAGAGCACCTTCAATTTTCAAAATACATCAACCAATTTTAGGGGCCAAGTTCCCCATCAACAACAACAACTTATTTCGTCCAGAAGTCTGCGAATACAGTGCCTGCAGTACTTTATTGGCGTCTTGAAGGGAGTTCATCCAAATTTGTACGGAACTTGAATTTTTCTCTCGGTGGCAGTCCATCGGGGGGTCGTGCAGTGCCCTTTGGTAGGTGCGCTAGCAGCCTGAGGGGGCGACTGCGGCGGCCTTAGTCCTCGGTTTCTGCGGCCGGCACCAACAGCCGGTGTACAACGGTTGCGGTGCACTCTTCTTTCGCCTCCATCCTTGACCTAAAACGGCCACATCAATCAGCGGCCAAGCCACTCTCGGAATCCTTAATTTCCATTTTCCTCATCATCAATTTCCAGTGCTCCTCATGATTAAACTCCTCATCCTTTTTTATTTCCCTTTTTCCTAGCGCCTAGAATAAACAACTGCGGGGGAGAGTAATGCTGCGCGGCGCTTCCCTTTCGCTCTCTCCGCCTCCTGCCTTTCAGGTGTGCCGCCAGGCAGTCTAGCCTGGCACTCTCGCTTTCCGGCGTGGGCGGAGCGAAGGGTGCTGCGCTCAGGTGTCGTGCGTTTGCTAAGAGAGGGTGCCTCTATCAACCTTTCCACATTTCTCGTCTCAAAAAAAAATCGTTCACTCTAAATTATTTCTCTCCTTCAAAAACATCATCTTCTTCTCCAAATATTTTTCTGCTCCAAGATACAATTTTCTCTTCCTTTTCTCCAACAAAGCAAATTTCCATTAGCACAATTTTCTATTCCAATTTTCCTTAAACTAAACTCTGTACAATTTTCTTAGCAACATTTCGTGCTAATATCCTGAATAATTAGCAGCTGCACCTTCCTTTTCATTTCTTACTAATAATTTCTGCCTTTTGCGCGGCCCATCTCGTCGCGGCTGGTGTGCCAGTTGGGCCAATACATCAGGGCGGCGTGAATTTGCAGTTCATTCGGCGGGGAAACATAGGGCCTCGGAGCTCTTCCAGCATTCCCGGTGCGCGTGCGATGCTTAAATTCAGTTTTAGTGCAACCTTTTCCTTCTGCAAATTCCTCAAAAAATTCATTCATCTGCCTGACCACATTTTGCAAATTTTCTAAGCGGTCTAATTTGCTTCCATTTTTCTCAGAGTCCATTTCAAAAGTCAGTTCAAAGTGGAACGAAGGGCCTTCCGGGCCGATTTTCTTAGCTGACGTCTCGGGTTCCGATTTTTCTTTATTCTTCTCTCGAATTTCAACTCCATATTTAGGCTCACTGTGCCTTATGGGCTTTTCAACTTTTCTTTCTGCAGCATTTTTCAGCGCAACCGGGCGCAATTTTGTCAACTTTTCCAAAATTTCGCGCAGCAAAACGGACTCTTTATCATTACAACGTGGCACTGTGCGTGGCATCGGCGGCGGCAACGGAGGTGGCCGACCGTGTTTTGCTGCTCTCTTCTCTCTTCGGGATGGCTTTAAGCAGTTTCGCGCCTCGGAGTCATTTTTGGCCGCGGCCGGGGTCTCAACAAGGCGAGGACTCCTTTGCCCTCCTTTGCCATTGTGAACCCACGGCGGCTGCCTAGAAGCCCTCCTTGGCAATCGCCCTTTGGCCCTTGGTGGACCGGCGAGCCCTAAAGGACCTCCTTGCTTTTGCTCCAATTTTGGCTGCTTAACAACGGTGGCTGCATCTGCTGAGTTCGGACCATTGACCTTATTGTTTACTATTTTTGCAGAACTCTCAAAAACACATTTATTTACAATGTCCCTTCTCATTCTTATGGTGTCCAATTCAGACCTTT